ACAGCAGTAGCTTGAATGTTTTCATTTGTCGGGAAAACGAGGAAGAACCTTACCCTTGTTAACATTTAGAGAATCTCCAAAGAAAGATTGAGACACACATATGTGTGTGGAAGTTTTTGTGTGTAAGAAACACATAGATTTCCATATTGATTCAGTTAATAAAATGAAAGAAATATTCTTCAAACATTGTCTGTGTGGGTTCTTCAATACAATTTCCTAGGCACAGATATCACTGGTGGGGATCTATTATGACTGCCATGCATTTTGAGAGCAAGAGGGGAAGCCAGCCAGAAGTCCTTTTTTCCCCACTAGACTGGATAAGGAAAAGTACCTTTTGGGAATTTTTCATCACCTTTGATGCTTCCTTTGCCATAATTTTGACCATGTTTGAAATCCATTTCTGATTCAACAATAATATATTTCTGATTGCTCTTTTAGGGAGTGAATTTTCACCTGACCTTCATCTGACCCAGGTTATGGTATTAGATAGGATATTAGATACATTCCTATCCAGCAACAGCATCAAAAGTCTTATTAAAGCCACCGTATCTACTGCTTCTTTATCCACCTTAAGCCTGTTATCCTGTGTATGATTAGACAGTGGAATTCAGCCACTGCAGTGATTAAGAAAGGAGTTCAAGGGAAAATCTACAAACTAGTTGGCTTACAAACTATCCATATCCGCTAGTTATTGCTAATAAAGATTATAAGGAATGTGAGACATCTTATTGAAGAACCATTACACTGTTATCAATGGGGGTAGATTCATCCTCCAACACGTCTTTGTGGTTTTGTTTGTTTTGGGGTTTGTTTTTACCTTCTGAAGCTTATGTGCTTATGTCATCTGGGACAGATACAAAACTGGGCCACAGATCAAGTCTGGGGTAATTCCTTTGTCTCCTGTTTCTCATCATGTGGATTCTTTCATTTCTGACGGGTTTCTTGGAGCATTTCTTGTCCTATCCTGCATTCCAGTGCTGTCAGAATGCATCTCTCTTCCTATGTAATTGAATCAACATAACTGATTAAATGTTATTATCCCCAGTTAAAACGAATGCATTACTATTGCTCTAATTTCATTGTCTTAAATGGAATTAAATGAGACTGTGCTGTAAAGGCAATTTTCTTTTAATGTGTCTCTGTTCTTCAAAAGAGTTGTCAGTTTTTATCTGGCACAACTAGTGTTTGGTGTGTTTCTTACACATTCCTCAGGGCTGGTGTCATAGCAGGGGGATAGTTATGAGGACAGTGAATAGCCTGGCTCCATGGAATCCATGGAAATTTCTGCTGGCGTGAGTAAAGAAGAAACATGGGGTGGGAACTTACTCGGTGACTTCAGGAAAGTCAAATAGTTGTGAGAATAGCTAAGGAAATATTAATATCTGTTTTCTCTCAGCTTTTTGGCTGATAGAAGGAAAATGGAGTTGTTTCTGTTTGTCTGCCCCTCACTCATGGTGCTAATGCACCTACCTGATTTAATGACTGATGGAAGGGGCTTTCTGCTCTTCTCCCTTGATTTACACCTGTGCATTCCTGCCCTGTCAGCAAGGGCACTCATCTGGCCACTGTGCCAGTGAGCTAAATTGGTAGGAAAGTAACAATATAAATGGAAGTGTATTGTTTTCTGTGTGTTTAGCTCTCTAAACTGGCTCAGGTTTGAGTCAGATCAACTGAAGAAGTAGAGAAGGATTGCTGGTGGAAGGGAAGGAATGGGGAAAGCCATTTTCACTGGCAGCTGGCTGTTAATTAATTAGTCTAATCTCTGTACTAAGGTGAAGGGCATAACATTCTAAGCTGCATGGGTAAATCCTCCTTTCTGCATGTTATCCCTGCCCTTGTACAGTAGAAGTGCTTTGGAGACAAGGCAATCAGGGCTAAAGTAGGAGAGATTATTTGTAACCTGAATCAGGTTTCCCAATCCAGTGAGCTGTGCATCTGAGATAATGCTGGGCTGACAGACTAAAGGGTCAGTGCAGGGTCAGTTTGTGGCCAGAGCTGGCCTTTTTCTTGAAGGGCTTCCTGACCTGTGCTGACTTGTTGGCCTCTAGGAAACTGAGAGGTAAGCTCAGGGTGAGTCTTCAGAGCTGGCTGAGTGCTGTATCCTTGAGTGACCAGTGTCCCTTCATTCTCAGCAGCAGTGAAAGGAATGTGGCTTGATGTTTATCAGGTTCAATTTTGCACAGGGCCTTTTAGATGTGTAATGGCAACAAACCTTTAAAATATTTGTCATCTGTTACTCGATTTAATCTTTACCAAGGTAGCATTAGAATTGGAATGGTAGCCCTAAAATAAGGTTGGTTAACAGTTGTAAAATATTCTAAATAATCACAAAGTCCTAACAGTTCTGGATTAAATCATAGCCATACTGGGAATCCTGCTGTTTGTGGTTTGAAGAGCTAACCCAAGGATTTCAGAGTATGCTAAAAATTTTAAGGTTTAACTCCGTTTCCTCATGAACAAGTTATTTTTCTGTGGTTTGGTTGTTCTTTAATTGGTTGAAATCTGTTCTTTGTGCACACATACTCATGGTCAAGTAGACAATTTGTGAGTTTCACAGCATTTCCTACTGTGCAAATGTGAGGTGCTTATTGCATTGTGTCATGCCTCAGTAATATTCCAAATGGATAGGGTACTGGGGAGATGATATAAGAATGTCACTATAATACATGGAAATTCTTACTCTTTATGTGCTTAGCAATGGACATGGCTTCTCTTAACTTTTAATGCTCTTGAAGCAAAGGAAATAAATGCTTTGAGCAAACTGCATTCGGTCTAGTCTGAACTCAGTAGTTTTGTCTGCTGAGTGGTGGAACAAATCCTCTTTATATTCATTCTCTGGTAATAACTGGTGCCACAGAAGTGTTCTGGGATGTTTTTTAATAACCTTCTTGAGCAGATGCGTGGGAGAGAGCAGAGAAGTTTCTTGTGGATCCAGATCAATGATTCCCTGTGGTAGGATAAAGGCTTGTTTAAAAGACTAGACATGGATGAACCGGGCTTACAGGCCACTTCCGAGAGGGATTTAATACAGTGCACGAGTTCATACTGTCAACAGTTGCATTTTGGGCAGTTCTGTGATGTGATATTGTATAACTGGAAAAATTACTGATGTTCATTTGGGAAGGAGCAGCTTCTGGTAGTTTACAATGCTTTTGTTTCATAGCCAGTTTTCTTCTTCTTTGCCTTTATGAGGAGGAGAAATAAAAATCACTAGCAGAAGAATTCTACACTGCACAGCAAGAAAAGGAGACCATCAGGTTTGATACAGAAAATCCTGTTAAAGACACACCAAAGGGAACATCCAAACAGTCCATGTTTAGTGAACAGTAAAATAGGTAGAAAGGATCAGGTAGTGGTATAATATCCTTGGTTTTTAAATTGAAGGTGCTCTACCAGTATGCTACAGCTATATGTAATTCTCCAGGCTAATTATAGAGTCCCAGCCTGTGCCTGATCATTCTTTTTTTTTTTTCACTCAGAGAAGGATCTGTATCAATATAGTTGCTTTTGTTGCAGCAAGAGATTCCTCTTGAATATCCTCTTTCCATGTCTTTCTGCATTTTTCTAGAAGGATTTAGAAAATTTTCAGTGAACAGGTGTTGTGTACTGTGAAAGTGAGTAGATCAGGGCTTTTGTGGGAATGTCAGACCTGTAGATTGAGTGTTTTTATTTAAGGTGTGGTAATAGCCCTTATGAGGCCATGCCATATAGATCTGCTCTCTGTGGAAAGATGCTCTGTGTGCCACTGCAGGGAAAGCAGGTGGGTTTGGTGTAAGACATTCAGAAGGCCTAGATTCTAAACTGCTGAAAATTTCTGTTATTCTTTGACAGACTGTGTGGTCATAGATTCATAGAATGGTTTGGGTTGGAAGAGACCTTAAGATCATCAAGTTCCAAGTCCAGATTGATATACCAGATTGATCACAGCATCGTTGGAAGAGACCTTAAGATCATCGAGTTCCAAGTCTCTACCATGGCAGAGGCACCTGTCACTATATACCAGATTGATCACAGCACCATCCAGCCTGATCTTAGGCACTTCCAGGGATGTCCACAACTTCTCTGGGCAACCTGTTCCAGTACCTCATCACCCTCACAGTAAAGAATTTCCTCCTGATATCTAATCTAAACCTGACTTCTTTTAGCGTGAAGTCATCATCCCCTTGTCCTAACACCACACACCCATGTAAAAAGTCCCTCTCCAACTCTTTTGTAGACCCCTTTAGGTAGTGGGTTGCTGCTGGATATCTCCCTTGGAGCCTTCTTTTCTCCAGGCAAAACAACCCTACCTCTCTCAGCTTCTCTCTGCATAGGGGAGGTGCTCCAGCCCTCTGATCCTCTTTGCAGACCTCTGGACTCACTCCAGCAGGTCCCTGTTGTTCTTCTGATGGGAACCCCAGAGCTGCATTCAATAGTCCACATGGGGTCTCAGGAGAGTCAGGTAGAGGGGGAGAATCATGTCTCTCAAGTCACTGTATGCATCTCATTTTTTGTCAGATACCTCCTTTTTCTACCGTTCATTTGACTTGTTTATTTGGATAATATAACTATTAAATTCTCTGTTGTCTGGACAACAGCTTGTTGTTGACAACCTTGATGTTATCCTGTAAGCATTGCTGTGACATAAGCAGCCAATTCACAGAGAGAAATAATGGCAAGAAGATGAAAGAGGAAAAGTCCTAATAAAAAATACATGAAAGAGCAAGACAGTATTGTCTATGCATGTGTTGGAAAACCAAGGTTTCTGTATGTTAGATTAAAAGCTTTCTTATTAATATCTGGAATTTCAAAGGATATCCTGATATAATGCCCAAGGCTTCATGCTGAGAAAATGGCAAAGTTTTTTTTTTCTTTTTTTTTTTTTTTTTTCCCTAAAAGCAGTATCGGTTGATTCTGTAAGTAAACATGGGTTCCTTTTGCCACAGTGATATAATTATTTGTATTTACTTTGCTTTTAAGGAAAAGAGTTTTTAACCCCATAATGATAATAGTGATGCACAATGCCTGATCAGGACAAAAAGCTGAAGAGCACAGAAAAAGCAATAAAAAAAAAGCCTCCTGGGATCTCTATGAGGTGTAATATCTGACGTTTTACTTTGAACTTCAGCAGGGCTCGTGTGGAATTTACACTGGCTGCCAAAGCAGAATGCTTCAATTTGAAGTGCAGTATAAACATGACGACTGTTACTCTGGTCACAAAGTTTATTTACACCTTTGTTGATTTAAGACATTCTGGAGAAGCTGTAAATTCTTCTGTGCACAAAAGTGGACACCAGGCAACGCTAGAAAACTTTATTTTCTGTCAGTAGCATTGTTGCTTGTTGACCTTCTTTACACTTATGGAAATACTTTTATGTAACTATTAATACACGCTGTTGTGGTTTTTTTCCTAGGGATAATTCTCATCTAAAGAGGCTTCAGTCTCTCTTCATTGTTCAGTCAAGGAACCAACAGGTATTTTTCAATAACTGTTATTAAATGTGCTTTAGAATTATAATTAATTCTAAAGGTGATTATGATTTCTGGCATATGCTTAGGACATTATGTACTATAGTGACTAAAACATGTTAGCAAAATCTTAAGGAGAGGATGTCTTCGTGTCTCTTTTTCCTTGGCAACATTAGACCTTCTGTGTGGCACAAATCACATTTAGAATGGCTAAAAGCATGAAACTGATCCGGTTCCCATTCTACTGTACCATATTTTTTATTTTAACAGGAAAAAATTGCTTTATTTTGTATATTCAGCAGGTTTTATCCAGCTATTGTTGCATATATTAAAGTAGCATAGCAGATTTGTTTTCCTCTGTGCCCTTTCACAATGTCGCACGAAGGTAGGCTTAAAGATGTGTGAGTAACAGCATGGGGGAGAGTGGTACAGAATATAAAATAAGATCAGCATTTTAACCATAAACAGTTTGTCTTTGAAGAATAACACTTCAGCTAAAAATATCCTGGGCTTAAATACCAACTTACAGGAGAAAGTCAAATCTCCTTCACCTGAACTCACTTAGTGAAGCTTGTATTTGCCATTTGAAGCAAAGAAAACCAACACATGATTATGGGTGTGAGTCTTTGGAATCACAGAACATTTTCTCCCTTTCAATTCTGTAAAAAGATATGACAAAATGACTAAAGGATTCATCCATGTGAGGTAGGAGTTATGCACTTTCTACCTGGTTAGAGGCCTGGAATTGCTTCTGAGCAGAAAGCTGAAACATGTGAGTTGTACAACCTAAAAAGAATGTGAAGGCTGTGCAGTTGTGGAATTGGGACAGGTAAGAAACACAGATAATGAGCATGTGTTGCAGATTTTGTAGAGCTTTTCTATCATAAATTTTAGAAGATGCTGTTCTTCACCTTTTACTTACCTCTCAGTACTAGTTTTTCAGTGTTGCTTTGCATCAGTTTTCTACCACGTCACTTTTGTTTTCCAGAGGAGGTGTGTGTATTCTATAATAGCAAGTTTTAGGTCCAAAGTTCAAGTCAGAACTTGAGAAAAGGTACTTTGGTGTGATAATATTCTCAGAAGACTTAAAATGCAGTGTTTGCCTCATGACTACTATCCCTTCCGTCTTTAGCTTCCAGCTATATATATTGAAAGTGGTCAAACCAGTGTGACAAGAACTTGGCAAAATGTCAAAAGCAATGAACAGAAGTCCAATGGTCAATGGCAAGAATCTGTTGAGCTTGAAAAATTTAGGTAAAAATAATTTAAAGATGATGTTGACACTCTCATATCCCTGAACGAGAGATACCTTTATGTATCTAAGGGTATCACCTTGTTGAGGTGTTGAAGGCATTTGTATTTTTACATATGTCTTGTTACTTGTACTTGTCATGTTAAACCAGTATTTGAGAGGAGAATGACATACTTCTAATTTTTTAAACCTGTTTATGTTCCTGCCTTTGTAAGTTTCAACCTTTCCCACTCTGCAGAATATACTGGTTAGAGTTAATAAACTCATTTTAAATAGTGATCATTTCTTTATTTGGAAACGTTATACCATTCTGATAGTCCCAAATTATGCTTGAGACAGACTGTTAATGTCTGGCAATCTGAAATCGTGTTATTCTATGGTAACTGCTGGTATGACATTTCTTAGTTTTTGTTGCTAATATTAAGTTGTAGTAGTGCAAAACTGTCTTGTGGCAAGTTAACTTGCAATTCACCAATTCTTTTCTTTTCTTCCTTATTAGTGTGACCTACAAGAATGAGAGAAATTTCAGCAAGCATCCCAAGCGTCAGCTGTTTCAAGATATCTTTACAACTTTAGTTAAGGACAGACTTACCTGCAGATCATTATATGAAACAAATTCATAACCAAGAAGGAAGGCTACTCTTTCTTGCCTTCCATGAAGAAGCAAGATGCATGGATAATATCCCATATTGTTACAACAACACACCTTTCTGTGGAAATTGCCAGAAGCACTGGTGGTAGTTTTAAATAACCACTTGTGTATCGGCTTTGAGGAGCAATGCCCAGGTCAGTGGGACAGAAAAACACAGGACTGGGTATATGACAAAAGTTGGATGACCAGAATTCTAACTGCTATGTTTTCTTGATCATTCATCTGTATATGGTGTCTGTAATCTATGATTTGCTTTTCTAATTTATTTTACTGTTTCTATTTATATTTTATAGACTACTGCCTTTTTAGTGAAAGGCCAGTGGTTTCCACAAAATTCAGATGAGTTGATGCCACTTGTTTGTGTTCATTTGTATTTTTGTGTATGACAGGATTAGAAAGGGAATTACCTTTTCTTATGCTGCTCTCATTTATATGAGGAAAAAGTACAGGACCTTACAAAAATAGAGGGGGCAGAGAAAGATATTTTAAGGGAAAAAAAGATGTATTTTTCAGGATTTTTTTACTATACTCCTTTGCAGTATATTGTATTTACCTTTTTAAAGCCCAAATACATTTTCTAAAAAACCCCTTAAGTGGTACAGAAGTTTAAATATGGAATCCTAGAGCATTTAAAGGTATTAATATATAACTACAAGAGGAATCTAAAAACACCACATAGTTTGCTTAGACATTTATTCAGAACCAGCTGGGGAAGTAGGGGTGTCTGCTTTGATTATCTAAATGACAGTGAGTTTAAAACAAGTTATTTAAGTGATTTTTAAATCTGGTACCTCTTTTTCGCATGTGAACTCAGTACTCACCAGTGGGAGGTCAGTGGCTCAGCTTCATTTGCCAGAAATCCAAGAATAGCTTACACTGTGATTTCCCAAGTTCTGTTTATACATTGTGACATACTTGGCTTTTATTTTGGTTTTCTTTTGTTGTTCTTTGTGATAGTGATATGGTAAAACAAGCCTCTTGTATTAAGAATGAAAGCACCCAGGCAAGGTTGGTGAAACAGGCATAAATTAGTAGATAAGCTGGATATACCCTGGTGTGTCTAGTAATGTGTATTATAAATAATGTGTAAATGTAACTGTAGTAGAAGAGGCTCTGAAATGTTAATCAGGCTCAGAGAATGAGTGTCCACCATGGTAATATCTTCAGACCGCTTTAAAATCTGACCTGCAAATTTTGCACACAGGTATATGGTTGCTGTTTTCTTTCCAGGAAAGTTTTGTGCTGTTCTGAAGTGGCCAATTATGGAATCATAATGAAAAATGGTATTACTTTGGGCAGAATATTGGCGTAAAAGGGCTGAGAGTTTCTTAGTCTCTATTTATAAAATATTTATTTTTATGGAAGTATTTTTAGCTATTGGCGTCATTCCCAACTTCAAATGATGAAATGGGAAGAAAACTGCCATGACCCATACACTTTTTCTGTTTCCAAGAAACCTATCCAAACAAATTTTGTCCTCTCAGATAAAACAACAACAAAAAACACATGGCAAAGATGTCTAATTTTAGGTTTATTTTAAATAGGGAAATGGGGAAATATACTTTCAACAGGCAATGGAAATAGTGATTCCAGTACTGGTATTTTATGCAGGATTACTGCCCCTGGACACTTTCTGCAAATATGATTTGTATTTTCTACCATGTTTTATGCTGTGAATCATATGGAGAAATATAAAGGAGGAAGTTCTATATGGAAATACAATCCTATTTCAAGAACATTTGAACTAAATAACAAATTATTTCCAGCATAACAGAATTAAAATTTTTAAAAGCCAGGATAGATTATGATAATTCAAAAGAATATTTTAAATATAGTTATTTTTACTTCTGTAGCACACATATTTTTGCATAAGTGTATTTTGTGCACTAAAGTTTGCTCTGTGGTTTCTCATTTACTTTGCTCTTTTGGGCCTTAATTCAACCATGAAAAATTTATATTAAAGCACAGTTAGTTTGTTCTTAGAGATGAGCATGTACTTTCCCTCATCAGTCCACTGATAATAAGTGATGGCTGGTAATGCTGATATAATGTAACAAATTTATTTATAGCTGATACTGTGTTTGAATATAAATGGTATTATAAGTTCTGTGGTATAGTATGTTGAACAGTTGTTGTAGCTCACTGATCATCTAGTCAATTGATCCTGAATCAAACTGTTTTATTTAAGTATTTAAGCACTTCTTAAATTGCATTTGGTTTATGTTTTGAATATTTAATTTACAGGCAATGGGTTATTCAAGCCCCATGCATCCATTTTCTTAGATTTTATTAATCTGCCTGAGATTATTAATAAAGGATCCATGCTACCAGGTCAGTATGTCAAAATATTGTTTCTTGCTTGGATAAGGGGATGCAGGTAAGTTCATGTGTACAGTTGTGTTGGTGCTTGTGTGTAAAAACATTTGTTCTTATGAATGCACATGTACATGTATGTATCTGTATTTCTATATGTGAGGATGGGAGTTGCAAATAAGCAGATTTCAAGAGTGGTTTTACACCCTTGCTGCATAACTTGCTCAATTTCTGTTATTTCTTATGTCGTGTCTGTTGTTGTTGACCCTTACAAAGAAACTGTAAATCTCCATAACAGATGGCTCGGTCATTGCTCTGAGCCCTAGACTTGGTATTTGACATTGTCATAAAGATTTGTAAAATTCCCCCTACATCAATAATGTAGTTACTGAAGGAAATAGAAAGCTCCAGTTTAAGAACCTTCAACATTTCACCTCTTGTGTTTTTATTTATCTACTTACTACAAGTAGTTCTGAACTCCTTTTTTCCTTTTTTTTTTTTTTTTTTTTTTTTTTTTTTTTTTTAATTTTCCTGTAGGAAATGCTCCACAGTCTGGGTGAAATTGAAAATCTAGCTCAGGTAGAATTCCTCACAGTGCCTTTGTCTATTATGTTGCCTGTCAGTTTATTATGATTAGAATAATATATACTGTAAAAAGCAGTGTACAGATATTCTTGGTTTATGGAAAGAAGTGAGTCTGTTCCTCTGTTTTCACATGAGCAGTTGGTGTGGGTTTTTTCACTAGTTTTCAAATCAACTGTCCTATAATCTAGCTGAATTCATCTGGGACTTGTAGTTAGGAGACTTAAGAAATGCTTCCTGAAGTGGGAGAAGAATTGGAAGAGTCAATTTCTTTTGGTTCAGTCAAAAGAGACTAGACTTTTGAAGGGACATGAGCAGATCACCCTGCACTGTAGCAAATGACTTTGCAAAGGGAAAAGCATACTGGTAAAATATATGGGTTTTTTAAAATGTCCAGGCAGGTTTAAACCTTGAGGCTACACTACTATTGCATTACAGAATATTTTTTCATGAAACAGATGCACCACCTACAGGCTCCACCTGTGCAGAACAGTCTACGTTTATGAAATCTGCAAACTTTTTTTCCTAATGGTATCCTTTATTTTTCTTCCCCTACTTGTAGTATATGGAAACAGTAGCAAATCGTTACCTTAGTTACAGAGAAGAGCAGCATAATGTGGACAAGTTGGTCAACATGACATGTAAGTGCAGTAGCTGATAACAGAAATGATAAGGCTACTCACAACTTGTGTGTGAGGCTTAAAATGTTTAAAGTACTTCAGGTGGTCATTAAGTAAGATAGTAGTATATTCACTGTAGGCATCATCACATGAGTAAAAGCTAAAATTCCTGTAGAAGGGAGCTGCTTGTAATATTTCTTTAAGAAATTAGTATCTTTTTATGCATTGAAATAAAAGAGTAAATTGAACTATTTATGGTTCAAAGAACTTACACAGTATTTTTCTCTGTTATCTGACTGGTAAAATAAAAATATTAGTGAGAAAGAGTCAATTTGTGTGTCTTCCTTTCTTCCATAGATATTTTCCAAAAGCTTGCTTCTGTTAGAAATCAAAGAGAATGAGTTATAGCAAATGGAGCACATAAAGTGCTTTATTAAATTGTTAATTTATTTAATTAGCTACTTAATATAATAACAAATGCTTTTCAGATTTGACCTAGATGGGACTAAATTCCTTACCTTGTCAGTCTTGTGAGGTAAGATAATATCTGTTTTACAGATATATTAATAGGATCATAAAAATAAATTCTTCTCTGTAAGTTGTCTGATGTATAATTGTTGGCTGTTTGAGATAAACAGATTGTAAACATTTGGACTAAACATTTGTTCTGTAGAAAGTAGCGCTCATGTATGCACTGTCCTGAGCTACACCTTACTGTGATTCAAATAGTTTTATATACTTATAAAATGTAAATATATTTTAAAGTTTTCTTACACAAATTTCTGATGTGGTTTTTCACTTGTAAAGTATTCTGTGGCTAAATATTCTGTGTCAACCCAGACATCCTTTGCTGTACATTACTATCAGTCTAAGAATCTGTAATTAATTATTGCTGGTTTATGGCTAAACTGAGATACAGTTGAGATCAAAATCAGTATAACTAGGGTTTCATGATTCTATCATGCTGCAGAAAAACAATGGCAATTGTGATCGTATAGTATCAGACAACCTATTTTTAGAGAATCTAGACAAATATGGAGTTTGATTAGATATTAATCATGAACAGAAATACAGGCAGGGCCTTAAATGACTGTGCTGTTTAAATATAAGCTGAATATTAACTTTTTACTTCAGGAGGCCTGAATTAGTGTTCTGAAGTTTTCTGGTGTAATAGAGACATTTTAGCAGTCAAAGAGACACTAACTGTAGTTTGAGAAGAAACATCCTTGCTTGTCCTACTGGGTGTATTCTAAGATTTTGGGTGTATATTTAAGTGTACTTTAAATGTACCTGAGATTTTTAACATATTGTGTAAGGATTTAATTTTTACTTTCCATTAAATATTTCTGTATGTTTTTGAGTTTTAAAATAACGTACTTTATATTTTCACAGAATCACACATTTACTTACCTTTATTTTTCTTTTTTTTTTTCAGACCTTAGTAAATTTATTATTTGCCAGAGAGAGTCATGTGTTTTTTGGTGCCCTCCTTGCTCTGACTAGCTGAATAGAATGGTAGGTTCAACTTAATGTGCCATAGTTAACAAAAGCTTTTTAATGTTTTCTCTTGTCAGAATATTAGAACTGCTCTTTATGAGGAAAACTTGAATGTTCTTAATTTTATATTGAAGCAATAGAAATGAAATAGAAACTTTGGTCCTTGCAGCAGACTTCTTCTTCATGTGGATGGCTCTGCAAGACTGGAATCACAGAATCTGTCTTTGCAATCCTCATGCAGGATTCTGGAATTCCTGCTGACTTCCTGCGTATAAAAATCTTCTGTCTTCAGCTTAATATAACAGTGCCTCACAATAATCAGGTAAAATATTGTTCAGTGTAGTAAATAATAAACTCATGCAGCCAAATCCATATATATGTGCCCTCTTCTCATTAATTAGTGATTAAATAAAGATTAAAAGGGAAAAAAAGAGCAAAAAGGGGGACAGAGCAACTTTCATCTATAATGGTATTATAGAAGAAAAACTGCTGTTATTGATCAGTGTCTTCCAGACTTCCCAAAACTCTCATTCAGTTTAATTTGTTTTTAATACCTGTATTAATTTAAATTATGTTATACATACATTTTCAACTTCCATTTAACTTTCTTCACTGAATGTAATGTAGGATTTTATGTTACATTTGGCCTGGCCAGAAAGAGTTTGGGGTATATTACAAATGTTCACAGAAATTGTGGTTGTTTTTAAAAATGTACTCAATTTGCTTAATTACCAGTAAGGCACAAAATATATTTGTGTCTTTATTTTTACGCATTCACATTTACTTTTTTTTTTTTTTTACTGGGAAAACTGGAAACTTGTTACACTGTTACTCTTGACCCAGCATATATTTGTGGTTTTATGTACTTGTGTGCACAACTTGATATTATTACTTAAGACTAGGGGAAAAATAATTAATCAAATGTACAAAGAAGAAGGCTAAAGAGCAATGTGTGTTTTTGATATAATTTCATCTGATAAAAATGCCAGGAATAATCAATTTGTAGTCCAGAATGTAGGGAGGAGATAAGTGAGATTGTTGAGAACTTGCTGGTGATATTACATGAATAAGGTGAGACTTTTTGTGTGGATTAATTGTGTTAAAATAAGTTTTGACTTTTTTATTTAGGGATGCACGTATTTAGAGGAATTAGAAAATGTGCCACTTGAATATACCCAAGGTCAAATTCTGATACCTGTGTATTTTCAGTCACATACTGATATAGCAAAATCTTTTCCACAGTTCCATTGTAATCCATCTCTCTCTCCCCACTGATGGCCCCCAGTACAAATGAGTTGCAATGTTATCATGAAGTGATAGCAATCACTTTTCTTGGTGCATCTCTTCCGTTGCTCCTGGCAGACCTGAATGGTTAGATGGGAAAGCATGTTGAGCCCTGACAGTTCCTGGGCTGCCCAATATAAACTGGTAAAATTGCAAACCCATGAAGAAGGAGGAAGAAGAAGGTGAAGAAGAACAACCTGCCTCCGCCCTAAAACCTTCATCTTGCTTCATGTTTATTACTATATTCTAAACCCCCAAACTTTAAGTTTTCCACCCTGTCATATTACACACTTCTAACCAACTACACACCCATAATCCCAGTGGTATTAATCAATTTTGGAAGTCTTCTCCACAGCCTCAGGTCAAATGTAGTGCTCTCTTGTGAGTCGGTGCCTTTCAACACAGAAAGTTTAAAATTCTCAGCATCCAGGATTCCAACACGGATGAGCACAGCTGCTGCTGCTCTAGTTGGCAAAGTCCTTAGCACAGCTGAATGCATTAATGATCCTGCCTCTCACGTGGTCTTTGTTCTGACAGAGCCCCTAAAATGTGTATATAGCCACTTCACTGTCTAATCAGGTAGGCATGCTTGGATAGCCAAGAAAGGCATTTCCACAAAAAAAAACAAAAAAAAACCAAACAAACAAACAAAAAACCAAAAAAACAAACCCATTCTACTTTCTCATCACAGTTTTTCTGGATTAAAATTGGAGAGCAGATTCCATACAGTAGGTACCTTTCTACTGCAAGATTTTATAGTGCACTTCATCTTAAGGATGATAAATACAAACCTTCCCAGTGGGTAGGTATATGGAACTAACATGCAGTCTAACCAACTGGATAGTATGCTCAGTATAGTTGCCTCACACAACTGTAAGGAGCTTAATTTATGCCCACTGAGAATTTTAGATTCCAGCAGAATGTATTGGAAATAACTCACAAGAGCTACTAAGCAGTTGTAGTTGGGTTGAACATGAAGCTGTACCAATTAATAATGGACTTAATGATCACATATGAAAACGAAGTCTCTTTTGGACAAGAACTTTATGAAGCCTTGTCCCACTTCTCATACTGCTACCTGCATTGCCTTTGAAAATGTTACTGGTATGAAATAGAGTTGCAAATATTGGAATATCCTTTTTGAGTTTCACAGATATTTTTCTTAGAATATTTGCTGGTGTAGTTTCTCTACTGCCCCATTTTGTGTGTTTTCAATGATGAAACTTTCATCTTCTTTCTGACCTCAGTGATCTTAATTCAGGACTGTCTCTGACTGCTCACCTATAAATGTGCCATATCATTGAGTCTCGACAAATAGAGCTAAAGATGAGTTGTATCAAAGCAGACATATTAACCACCTGCGAGTAGCTGTTTTAAATAACTTTTTTTGCATTGGAACTAAGGTATATGAAGAAGCTGAGGTACATAAGGTTGTCTGTAAATATGACAAATTTAGGGTCAAAAAATTGAATAATCTCTTCTTCTCTGCCCCTCTTAGAACTTACAGTATCCCACACTGCATTTTTCAGAAAATTGCTTTTTTACTGCAACAGTACAAACCCACATATTATATTTACCTTTTTCAGCATTGGAGAAGAAAGCAGGTCTCAAAACTTGAGCTATCTGTAGATAAAAAGAGATGATCAAGATTTAGGTATACCTCAGCATGTGCTGTAGCTATCATCACCACTTCTTTTTCTTTCCCCCTTATTTTCCCCCCTAAATGTCCTTGCATACTTTTAAAATACTGGAGGAACTTAATATATTTTCATTCCCTTTGTTATCAGGTTAATAAGATAATCTGTTGTTTAAATACAAAGTTTGACTGTTTGCAAGGTATCAAGGGGAGTCGTTGTTTATCAGTGGTTTTTCCACATCTGTCATAAATCTCTCATTAATTGGAGTGCTTTTCCTACTGTAGTATTATGTTTTCAGAGCCGAGATTTCTCTTCAGTATGGAAAGAAATTGACATATTTTTGAAAGGTGTGTTAACTGTACGTTTTGTGAAACTCTTTTAGGATAGCTTTCAAAAGTCCAATCAGAAAGAAATATTTTCTAAACATCATTTATTTTGTAATGGGCAATTTTTGTCATGTCCACAACTACAGATAGTCATTCCTGCACTGCAGCCAGTCTACAAGATGAGGTGTTCACTATTGGGACTCCTGTTGTGTGCATGCCAGACAACCTAGCTCTGTGTGGGCTCCTTCTAACCCCCATGAATAAACCTTTTATATATGTTGAGGACAGCTTTAACAGTGCTGGCAATAAAACATACTTTTACCTTGAAGATTAGCATGTGCAATTTGCAGCTTCAGGTAGTAGCAATTAACTGGAAGCAGTCAATTTTTTTCTCTGAGCCCTCTACTCTTTCGCCATGGGTCTGACTTTGCATCAAGCTGTTTTACTTTGGAGTGTTACTAAAACATTTGGATCAATAAGAACAAAATGCTTTCCATCAATTACACATTTTTACTAGTAAGATCACAATTTCCCCAGGTTGGCTACAAAGGCCATGTGAAACCTTGCAGTGTGATTTGTGGCATTAGAAGAGTAATCAGAGTATCTAGGACGTCTTCCTGCCAGTAGTGTTTCTGTATGTTTTTATTATGTATCATAAATTACTAAAATTCTTTTTATGACTTTTGTGTTATTTTTAAAAAGTGGATATTGTACTGAAAGTGCCTCTGTTTATAATGGATTTTCATGGTTGGTGACAAATTTTTGAAGAATCTGGGCTCATTTACTGTCTTTTGATTTTTCCAAATGCCTAATCTTTTGCATTCTACTTATTCTAGAATTTTAAAAAGAAACAAAACTTCAGTCAAGCATCTGAGTAATCAATTGTTGCCTCTTCTCTGTTGGCTTTTGCTTTTCTCAGTAATTTTAATCTTTTAGACTAGGATTATTGGCCAAAAATTCAAAGATGGATGTCATGATTCTTTAAATGCAGACAAATGTTAATCCTGTCACTTAGTGCATTACAAAAAGAAACTCATATATCGTGATAATAACCATAAAAGAAAGTAATGTAAGAAAAAAAGTAATATTACTGGAAATTCAGAAGGTGCATTGACTTTAAAGGCTTATACTTGTTTGGAGAATTGGCATTTATATTAATACCCAGCCAATGGAGGCTGAAGTCTGACTTTTAAAAGGTGCTTTAACTCCTATGTATGTAGTGTTAGAGGCTTAATACCTTACTACATTAGTGAAAAATAAGTGTACTGTTTAGTAGATTCTGAAGTAAGTTTTAATGATAAACACTGAAAAGTTTCTGCTGTAGATTAGTAGCTCTTGTGTACATTGTTTCTCAAAAATACAAAAAAATTTCCACCTTTCTAGAATTTTCCCTACTGACTTGTTTGAAATCCTCATTGATATTGGACATTATGTGTATTATATCAGCGCTTATGAAGGGTTGGTATTAAAGCTAAATTCATTAAAGGTAAGTAAAAAACTTAAGCCTTCATAGTTGTAAGAACTTGTATTCTTGCACATTCTTAGGACAAGAAAGACATAAAATACTTTAAATTTATTTATTTGTGATTTAATTTATTACTAGGAGGACATATTGAAGCAAATCACTGAAAGTGTTGAGAACAGGAATAAGGCACCCACAAAACATGTAGGATATTATGCAATTTTAGAGCACATTGGCAGTGGAGTTTTTGGAAGTGTATATAAGGTAGACTTTTCCTTTGTTATTATTTTACAGATTTGAGGGGAAGCTTCATGAAGAGGGGGATCATTATTCTCCTCTAAAGATCCAAAGTGTACAATTGAAATGCTAAATAGGGAGAAAGGCTATGGTGAGTAGTAGAGTGAATGATACAGATTGCCAGCCATATAGTTTTACTTTTCCTTTCAATAAAGAGTTACCTACATACACTTGCCTGCTGAGTGATTAGCAGACACTGGTTTCCTTATAGTTCTGTGACATAAGTTGAGGAAAAACTCAAACAAAAAAGAGTAGAACTAGATTAAGGTGTATCTACCTATACAAACACAATTTTTAAAGACTAAAAAAACCCAGCTTTTAAAATACATTTTTTACCTCAAATACTCTATTTTAAAATTATTTCTGTATAAATACAATGTTCTATTAATTTCTTTTATGAGATGACAGATTGTATATAGTGATGGAGCTCATGGAGGGGCTGCCATTGGGACAATACTTTCACTCTTTGAAGGAAAAGCAACAGCAGTTTACAGAAGACGGAATATAGCATATCTTTGTCTGAGTAAGGGCCTCCATTCTTTTTGCTGGGATTTTCCTGCCTGTAATTAGTAGCACCATGAATTTAATGTGTCTTTCTTTAGGTTGTAGTTAAGAATCTTTGTAAGGCTCTTTCTGTTTGTTTTTAAGCTTTGTCTAGCTCTTCGTTATTTGCATAAAGAGGATTGTTCATTGAGATCTCACTTCACAGAATGTCATATTGGGGGATAAATGCAAAGTTACACTTACTAGTAGAACTGCTCTGCTTGAAGACAATTTCTCAAGATGTACCTGGGAAGCATTTCTTCACTGAAACTCAGAAAGGTTCAGATTCCTGGGTGTTGGTTATCATTCTTAGAAGCTAGTAAATTACTGCATTATTATACTGTTGTGTGAAATCATCAAATCACAGAATGGACTCGATTGAAAAGGACCTTAAATATAATCTATTTTCAATCCCCCCCATGCAGGGAGGCCTTTCTCTAGATCAGGTTGCTTGCAGTCTCATCTATCTTGACCTTAAACACTCACAGGGATGGATGACCTGTTCCAGTACCTCACCATCCTCACAGTAAAGAATTTTTTTCCTAATATCTAATCTAAACCTACCCTTTTCCAGTTTGAAACCATTCCCCCTTGTCCAGTCACTATGTGCTGTTGTTAAAAGTCCTTCTTCATCTTTCTCAGAGGCTTCCTTCAGGTATTGGAAAGCCACTATTAGGTCACCCTAGAGCCTTCTCTTTTCCAGGCTGAATAAACCCAAGTCTCTCAGCCTCCCCTCACAGGAGAGGTGCTTCATCCCTCTGATCATCTTGTTGGTAATCCTCTGGACTCACTCCAACAGGTTGATGTCCTTCCTGTGCTTGGACCCTAGAGCTGGATGCAGGGTTCCAGTGGAGTCTCACCAGGGGGAAGCAGAGGGGCAGAATCCCCTCCCTTGCCCTGCTGCCCACACTGCATTGGATGCATTTGGCTTTCTGTGCTGTGAGTGCCCATGGCTGGGTCATGTCCTCTCACCCCCCAGCACCCCCGAGTCCTCTCCTCCAGGGCTGCTCTTGATCTGTTCATCCCCAGCCTCTATTGATACCAGGGGTTGTCCTGACCCAGCTGCAGCACCTTGCTCTCAGTTTTGTTAAACTGCGTGAGATTCCCATGGGTCCATTTCTTGAGCTTGTCCTGGTCTCTCTGGATGCCATCCCAGGTGTGCCAGCTGCGCCACTCAGCTTGGTGTCACCTGCAATTTATTTAGATTGATCTCTCCATCTATGTCATTAATGTATATATTAAATAACTCTGGTCCCAGAATGACCCCTGAAGGACACTACTTGTCACTGGTGTCCATTGGGACTTTGAGCCATTGATCACTACCCTCTGAATGCAACCATACAATCAATTTCTTATCCATCTAGCAGTCTACTCATGAATTACTCTTTTGGGGAACCATGCCAAAGGCTTTTCAGAACTCTTGATAAATGACATTTGTTGTCCTTCCATTGTCTACTGATGTAGTCACTCCTTCACAGAACGTCACTATGGGTAGGAAGGACTTGCCCTTGTTAAAGCTATGCTGACCATCTCAAATAATCTCCCTGTTCTACGTGAGCCTTAGCATAGTTTCTAGGAGGATGTGTTCCATGACCTTCCCAGGCACAGAAGTAAAATAATTGCTAATGCAAATTTTGTGTCATCTGCCATGGCTATATTTTTTGCAGCTATGGATGGTAAATATGATGGAGATGATTTAGCCTTAAAATATTTAAACTATAGTTAGGATTCAAGGCCTGTTTTTATTTAAATTAGCAAGAATATTGAAATAATCAGATTACAGAACAAGTGGTAATGAACATACAAAGTATAACAGCTGTCTATTCTATTCCAATTCTGCCATGAATTTGGTTAGCATCCTTCAGTTATTCCCAGATCAGCTGCAGTGAGGTGCTATTTGTATAAGTCTGTAGTAGTGAATATTCTTGATGTATGCTTCTGTAATCACCACAGTGTGGAGGAAGGAACCTAGGCAGTTTCCAGGACAGACTTTAAAAGCAATATGTGTGTGACCAGTACAAAGCATGGCGTAGTTTTAGTCTTTGAGCAAATGAATACAGCCTGGTACACAGAGCAAGCCTTCCAGGCAATTCAGTTTTTGAAGTTCTCAAAGAACTACTGCATGTTTTCTTGCTGCTCATGACACAGAAGAAAACAAAAAATTTGAATGCTGCAGAATTGTTGTAAGAAGTCTTTATGCAAAACTCCATCTCTCTTCTTTAAATATAACAGTAAACTGTAGACACACACGCACACCCATCCACAAAATGCTCAGCAACTGTTGTTTCATAGTAAATATTTTTACCTCATGTTCTACATATTTAAATTTATTCATTATGAAAGTTTATGTGCTAAGCCCCCTCAGACTCTTAGTAATGATGCAGTTTTGAAAGAATGTGATTTAATGGTGCAATTGTCCTTGAGTGATAAAAAGAAATATTCCAAATATGATTTTAAAGTATCATATAATTGTATTTTATATCAACTACTGCCACTGAGGGGCACTCTTGTCTTAACAACCTTTTCTTATCTTTAGTCCTTTCTAAATATGGAGAAGTCTAAATGTACTTTCAAGTATAAGCTCAAAATCGCCCTTGAAAAGCATTTATATTTCTGTCAAAGGTTTACAGGAGTTCAGGAAAATTGGAAGAACAGAAACTTATTTGGATCATTTCTACGGCAATTAGTTCAAAACTATTACAGTATTTAAACACTCACTTTATTTAGTCCAACAGCTAGTACAAGTGTAGTACCTATTGAATTTTTGGGAAGAGGTGAAGAACTTTTATCTATTGTTTCTGAATTTTATAAAGCCTTGCTTTTTTACAGCCTTAATGAAATTAAGATGAATTTACTTTCTCTTTGATGATAGTTAATGTGTACTTTATAGACGCGTGCTATGTTATTGTTCCTAACTCATACAGTCCATGTATGCCAAAGACTGGAGCATTTGTGATCTGAATGATTATGTCTCACAATAGTTGAGGATAAATGTATTGTCCATTTAGTACATTTCAGGTGTTCTTGGTGAAAGTCTGTCCTGATTTCCGTTGGAATAGAGTTAATTCTCTTTCTTGTAGCTGGTACATTGCTGTGTTTTGAATTTAGTACGACAGTAATGTTGATAACACACGGAGATTTTAGTTGTTGCTGAGGACTGTATACTCCAAGGACTTTTCAGTTTTCCATGCTCTGCCAGTGATGAGCTGCACAACAGGCTGGGGATGGGGAGTACATCCAGAATGGCTGACTTGAGCTAGCCCAAGGGATATTCCATACCATGGAATGCCATCCCCAGTATATAAACTGGGGCAAGTTGGCCAGGAGGTGCCAATGAGTGCTCATGGAATGGCTGGGCATCTTTCAGCAGGTGGTAAGCAACTTCAGTGAGCATCATTTGTTTTTCTTGAGTTTTATTCTGCCCCACGTTCTTTTAATTACAATTGCTATTAATAATAGCAATTATATATAAATAATTTTATATTATATAAATTATAATACTATAATACTGAAATATTATAATACTTTATTTTGTTTCCATCATCAAACTGTTTTTTACATTGACTCATGAGTTTTATTTCCTTTTTTTGCAATTCTCCTTCCTGGGGAAGGTGAGAAATTGAGTGTGTGGTGCTTGGTTGCTGGCTGGGGTTAAACCATGACAAAGTTACAACAAAATGTCAGATGAATGTGAAGCATATGCTAAAATGCTGAGAAATCTCTGAATTGAATTTATTCTGTCAGCTTTTTAAAAAGAGAAGGTCTGCTCTAAGATCTATTAAAAACTATACTTCTGCACTTACAAGCTGCACACTCATCCTAAATAGAGAGAAATCAATTTTCTGGAGTCTTTCAAATCTGAAAACTGACCCAAACTTGTCTTGGTCTAACTAGAGTAGTGGACTACCTGTGAAGCAGTGTTGTTTGACTGTGTAAGTGGGATATGGCTGAAATTATTTTACTTTATAAAATCTTATAATACTGCTCTATTTTCTTTTCCTCAATCAGTCCTTCTGGAAATAGTAACTCCTGTTAATCTCTTGCTATGAGAATCTGCAGGCTGGTAGTATAACAAATGCAGATCACTCGTCTGTAACTAATGTTCTTAAAAAATATTGTATTTAGAGAGGTGCCTTAGTTTCAGACTCTTATGGTGTATTTTGAATACAAAAAGGCCTAGGGAAATGATCAATGTACTGGAGAAAGACCTTTTAGAGATTCAGACTTCAATTCTGCAACAGCCACACCAAAGAGCTGCTTTAAGAAAAGTTTTGGGCTCACAGATAGGCATTTTGTGCCTTGTATATGAGAATGGGACCACTCACATTCCAAATCCCTTGAAGATCTCTTACACACTTTCTGCTTTTATGTTGGTTGAAAAGGATAGAAGTGCACAGAGTGGGAGGCACTCCCACCTTGCTGTCAGAGTGGAAAACAATAAACCTGCTAAAGAATTATGCTTATTTGTCCTGAATTCATGGAGAAACATTCCACAGGTGGTCCTGGTAGAACAATTCCAGCAGAACTTGGTAGGCAGGGACATATGGTGATAGAAAACAAGAATTCATACAGAGAAATCTGCAGCTGGCCTGGCATAATGCAAGATTAAATTTGAGGGGCCTCTTCTCAGGATGGTCTCTGAATATCATGTGTATAGGTCTTATTGAAAAATAAATACTCATGCTCTGGTAAGACCTTACCTGAAGTACTGTGTCCAGCTCTTGGGTCCTCAGCACAAGAAGGACCTGTTGGAGTCAATCCAGAGGAAGGTTACAAAGAGGATTGTGGTGGTTTTGCATGGAGATCTGAAATTGGTGAACCAAAACCACTACACAGATTAGAGGAGTGGAGCACCTCTCCTATGAAGAAACGTTGAAAAAGTTGGGATTGTTCAGCCTGGAGGAGAAAAAGCTCCAGGGAGACCTTAGTGCACCTTTCTGAACATAAAGGGGACCATAAGAGAGCTGGAGAAGGACTTTTCACAAGGGCTTGAAGTGGCAGAACAAGGGGGTATGGCTTCAAACTGAAAGAGAGTAGACTTAGATTAAATAAGAGGAAGAAATTCTTTACTGGTGTGAGGGGGTGGTGGTGAGGCTCTGGAATCAAAAAGTTCTGGATGCCTTGTTCCTAGAAGTATTCAAGGTCAAGTTAGATGGGTCTCTGAGAAGCCTGGTGTAGTGAAAGGTGTCCTTGCTCATAGCAGGGAGTTTGGAACTTGATAATCTTAACATCCCTTCCTACCCAAGCCATTCTACGATAATATTCTGAAGAATTTTTGAATATTTATAGCCACACTGTGTTTTGTTTTTCTTAAGTAATGTATGTGGTTAGATACTTTCTTTATTCAGAATTTTCTTTATTGTTTTGTTTTTAAACTTATGCAAGACAGAAATGAAAGTTCTAAGCCCAGCAGGTGCTTCATTCTAATGTGAAAATTGTATAAGTTTTTTGTATTTCCCAGGACATCTTTTACAGATGTCATTTAAACTTGAATTATCCTAACCTTTTCAGGCTCTTTAAAGTTGTGTGTTGTTGCAAATGTAAACAGACATTTACAATCTGATCCTAGCCGAGCTGTTTCTGACTATAGAGAGCTTTAAGCATGTTGTTGTTTTGTAGTCTCTAGAACTGCCCACCCTACTTGTTTTCTGTTAAATTTTTGACATAAATTCCATAGGAAGGGGTCCATGACTACCATCTTCTGTGCTGGTACAGTATTTAATCATAATTGATTGAACTAACAATGCTATGAAAATATAAATATTAAATCATGCCAAACCGCAGTTTTGTAAGACGTCTCAGTTTCAATTGATAGAAAAGTATTACCAAAACTGTACATCTCCAGTCAGACTGAAAGTCTCATGTATTGTGTCAGACACACACAAAAATGGTGGAATTTTAGGTGTAGCCTGGTTGAAAGTTGTTTTGTTATAGGGTTTTAGAGATTCATTGAACCAATATTATCAGTGACTTTCCTTTTAATCCCCCCTTTTAATAGGGTTTTAGAGATTCATTGAACCAATATTATCAGTGACTTTCCTTTTAATCTGCCCAGCCTTTTTATATAAGACATTGAGAAGTTACAGTTCTAAATTGAAAATGTGTATCTGCTTTTATTACAGCTATATTTTACTGCAGCTGTATTTTGGTTCTAGCACAGTGTATTTCTGTCTAGAGCTCCATAGCTGCATCTGTTTGTAGGACAAAACAGAAGAGTCTGTAGATCATCACTTTTCCTCAGTGTCATTTAGTTGCAGCAAGGTTTAGACCTTGATGGTCGGAGGGCTGTGTGGAATCACTTGGACACCTTTCAGAGCTGATATCAAGGAGAATTGTGAAGGGTACCCTACTCTGTTGTAGGAAGCATGTTCTGTTTAATGTTTAGTACACATGATAAAATAGCAGCTGGAAAGATCGGTATGGGTCTGAACCTAGGATTATATAGTAGCAGAATGCTTGTTTTGAGACAACTCACCTGTTGGATAAACTTCTAATCGTAGCAGGCAGCCATGTAGCATCAGAATGGTTAACTGAATGTGACTTGGAAAGTTCAGAGAGTTGCTGGAAGAAAGCTGCCTGTTAGTTTTGTAATTCAGACTATTTGCTTGGGTGCGTTGTATAAAACACCTATTGGCACCTATTGGATTCTGTTCCATGTCCAGAGAAGCAGTAGCCATGGGATAAAGTGAATATAACCAGAGTCTGTTGTGTGTTAGTCACTGCTCAGATTCACTTGAATCACTCTGCTGGGTTTTTAGCAGATTACATGGCTCATTTAACTAATATTCATAATCAGAATTGCTACACTTCACACTGATGTTCAAGGAAGTCCTTGTAGTATTTTATTTTAAAAGTTATAGCCTGAGTGGAATCTTCTACTTTTTTATATTCACACTGTAAATAAAACATTCTGGAAATTGTTGGTGAATTAATACCATGATCACATATCTTCAAAAATCTCAGTTCTAGATGTGGATCAGTGCTTAGGTTCCTAGTGCAGAAGTTACAAGCTTCACAAAACTAGCAGTAGATTGTTTACAAAGCAATAAATGTACAGAGAAAGAAGAATGATAGAATAGCTAAAAAGTTTATTTGGGAATGAGAAGTTAATTCTGTTCACATTGTATTGATGTAGAATAAGTATGAATTCTAAAAGTAGCATCAGTATGTACTGTTGTTGATTAAATTGCAAATTATCTTGATTTTAGCATATGTTTTTATAGAAAATAAAGTTATAATTTTATACTCCAAATTGCTGTACCTCAGTAAGTTGCTTACAAACCTGTTTGATAACAATTGCAAACTTGCTGAAAAGAAGCAAAGGGTTTTTGTCTCATCCTGAACCCTTCAGGGTAGTAGAAGAAACTGTTCAGCGGGTACACAGTGAAAATCTGATGTGAGCTGCTCTGAAGTTCATATAGGGGGTAAATTTGATACTCTGTTAACATTCTTTTTTGCTGTGCTTTTGGTCTTTGTGTGTGTGTTTGATTTTAGGAGAAGTTAATGACATTTTCGAATAGGGTTCAGATATAAATTAAGGCAGCAAACTTGCAAATATGAAGTCAGTGCTGTTAAGTTGCATCTGGATAATTTTTGTCTTGTTTATATGGCAGAAGATAAATTTAGGTGAGAATTTTGGGAAATGAAACAGCTAATGAAAATCCAGATTCTTTTAATAAAAAGAGTAATGAAAAACCATTGCAGGTATCTAAAATGCTCATTGGAAGAGAGTGCTAAGATTTAGAAAGTTTCTGTAATTTGGCTCTTATGAAAGCTGCAGAGACCATTAAGTAGGGGGTTAAGATATTAGCCACATATGCCTAGTCCTATTTTCATAGTTCTGTCTTTCCTTCATGCCCTCTTCCACAGATTTTTAATCTTTTTTGAAACCACCTTGCTTCATTATCACTTATTCTGCAACTCTAAACATAGTGTAAAGAAGTGAAAAAAATGAAGGAGGGTGATCAGAATCTAAAGGATTATGACTACATCATATTATTTTAATTTTTCTTCCTGTTTGAGGATTGTCTTGTATAGTTGTTTGACTATTTTTAAACAAATTAAAAAAAGTTAAAATATAGCTAATTAATAGGGGTCACATTCGTATTTGGTTATATCTTCATTTAATGATACATGAGACAGGCCTGTCAGAGTTCTCAGAAGTTATGTCATTTGTTTGTTAGTCATTGTAGCAACTTTTGGCATCACATACCAAATAATCATGGAATATTAGAAGCGGTAGACCAATTTATTTATTTATTAAGACAAATGCTTAAATAAATTAAAAGAAGCAGTGTCACTAGTTTGATGTAGTTCAACAGTTGGCAGTTCATTTTCATTTGAATCTCTATTATAGTCTTGAAAAAGCTAAGAAAAAAAAATTATGCTTAATGTAAAGCAGATTGTCCTGGGCTTTACATTCCTTAGCTCTTGCAGCACCAGTTGTATGTAGGAGTTTCTTGCTGGTATCAACAAAGATTAGCCAAATTTGGAAAATTCAGCTAAAAAGTAATTGCCAGTGAAAAGGTTTTATCCCTCCATTTCTGAGGACCTGAGCTTAAAATGAAGAGAATATATTTTCTCCATCTGACTGATTTTTCCCTTGCTTTCTTTCTTTTCTCCAAATAATCACTCATGTTGTATTAAAGTAAACTACTATGCCCAGAACTGAGAGGTTCACCTGCCTTCTTTCCTTTACTAAATCTCTCAATAGGAACTAAATTTATAAATTATTGTAATTTCTCAACACTCTTCCTTCATCAAATGTTATTTGAAGAATTCCAAAGGAATTAATTTAGAATTATTCAGCCCAGTTAATACAGGAAAGTATCAACACTGCAAAAACCTTTGGGGATTAATATTTCTTGTAGTGAAATACAAGAAATTTATTTTTTGTATTTTAAAAATACAAAGGCCTGAGGACTGCCTTAACTCAAGGGAAAAGGGAGACTTCTTGGTTATCCTGTTAATTTAGCATTCTTTCTACTTACATTTTCCAAGCACTGCACAGCTAGTCCTTCTTTGGACATTTTGTTCAAAGAAAAATGATCTGCAGCTTGAGAGTCTAGATTTGGCTTTCTTATCAAAAGCCCTTTCTGAATTTAAGAACTGCTTTTTGTCAGACCCTGAAGGTTTGCACTGAGTAAGAGCCAACAGAAACTAATTTTTCTTACCTGTATTTCTTCTCATCTCCAGCTTCTTTTGATGGGTAGTAACATAAAATTTTTATGAACTGTGTCACAGTGAAAGCAATTGGAATAGGCATGCTATGGGCTCTGTCCAAGTAGAACAGAAGTTTTTAGAATATTTTAAACATCGTAATTTGTTACAACAAAAATCTTCTTCTGAAGTAGCATTGCAATACAAAAATTATTAACAGGATTTATGAAGTGCAATAAAGTTTTCTGCTCTTTGTGCTTGGACTTAATGAAGTGTGATGTATCTTAGCTGCATTGTTGTGTGGAGACAGCAGTAGAATATTGAATTGGAAAAAACAAACTTGAACGGTTTGCATGGAACTTTGATTAAAAATATAATCTCTAAAGACTGTGTGTGTGACATTTTGTGAAAGACTACCTGATAATTACACAAGGCATTTATATTAGCATAATTACATGATCATTTAAATCTACAGCTTTTTTCACAAGGTAAGGCTAAGATTCACCATAATTTCTTACCAAATTCCATCTTTGAACATGAACTATTAAGTCGTTAGACTCCCCCACCCCACGCTCCTTTGAAATTAAGTTTCTTGGAAATTTTACCCTTCCCAACTGTCATAATTTCAAGGAAAGAAAAATAATTACCATAAATTTAGATTATTAGAGATTAGTATGAGATCACTGCTTATTAGAGACATAGCATTGTCATACAGTTTATTGAAATATATTGGTAGAAACCTGAAACTGGTCATATAGTTTAGATTGAAACCATGAGAATTGTGCTTATGGTATTTTTAAAGCAGATAGGCTGAATTCAAGTGTACGTTGCTGATGAATGTGGAGATAAAAAGAATATGGTCCAGTTCTGTGAAATGTGAAAGATAAAAAATCCCAAACTTCCCTTCCACCCTCCCCCAACTTTTCAGCTGTTGTGACTGAGCACTGATTGTCATGCAGAGGAGGTGGCTATTGAGATGTGAATCTTTTTGTCCCTTTTTTTTATTATTGTAGCTGACTTTGGCCTTGCAAAGTGAAGGCAAGAAAACTGCAAACTTGCATAAGTAGTGGTATCCTATAATATAGGTAAGCCTATAGGTATATCTATCTATATATATATCTATATATATGTCTATAGGTATATCTATCCATCTCCTATAATATAGGTAAGCCTATAGGTATATCTATATATATATATCTATATATATGTCTACAGGTATATCTATCCATTTATCTATCTACCTAGGTGTATATATATTACCTATAGGTAATCCTCTTATCCTGTAATAATAGGTAATCCTATACTCATGGTAAGTACTCCTGCATGTAACTTTTAGTCCAGTGACTTCCATCTTCATGGTTACTCTTGGAGCAGACAGGGAAGCTGCAATGAAGTAAGGAACAAGGTGCAAATCACA